TGAACTCAAACTCTCCAAATATTTCCACCCAATACAAGAAGAAGTACATCGAAAACTAGACCGATACCTTCACAGTGAGATCGAAAGGTAAAGGCCAAGAATTGGAATTATGCTTCGACGCTCGTCTCCTCGCGGATCTCTTAGCCGACTCGAGAAGAGCGGATGCGACCCGCATCGCGGCCTCGATGGCCCGATCTTTATCGGGCTCGTTGCATCTCGAATCCACGATCCGCTCGAGGGAGAGATCGATGGAGACGGCAGGATCCGACAAGGCGAGGAAGGATCCGAGGAGGCGGTCCATGGAGTCGGGGTCGGGCAAAACCCTAACCCTAGGCCTCTTTGGGAGGGGAGAGGAAGGAGGGAGGGGGTGCGTTAAGGGATCGGGATGAGAAAGGGAGAGGGATCGATGGCGATGGAAGAGGAGAGGGGAGAACTTCGAACCTTCCGAGGGATTTTTATCGGGAAAATGTTTTGGGGACCAGCGTAGAAATGACTCAAATGTGACTCCGACGAGATCAAAGGACGCGACTCGCGAGGCTTGACAGCTATTCTAAAAAAATTATATTGCTATGTTAATGTAGTCTGCTGCAATTATTAGAGCATCTCCAACAGCTTCCCCAAAATTTTCTCTAAAATAGAGAAACAAAAGTCATATTCTCCAAATTATTTTTGCTCCAACTCCAACAGCTTCCCCATTTTGAAAAATCGCATTTATTACAATAATAAAGCTCTCCCCAAAAATTTGGGGAATGCTGCAGATTTGGGGAAGGCTCCCTATTTTTTCTCCTCCTTCCCTATTTTGGGGAATGGGATGGGGAATGGGATGAGGAATCTGTTGGACAAAAAAAAAGCTCTATATTCTCCAAATTTGAGTATTTCAAGAAGATGGGGAAGCTGTTGGAGATGCTCTTATTATTATTATACCTCAGGAGTGATGAATTAAATTCATCTCAAGACAAAATAAGTCGCGAATCTAAACTTCATCCTGGTAACAAAATTATTCATTGTATTTGTATGTAGTAGATAATAACTAAGCAAGCTTTCAACTGGGTATTCCCAAACGTGCATGCTTTTAATAATTAATTAGGCCCGGTTTATTATTAACAACTCCAGCACCTGGTTTATGATTGTAAACTTTATCATTATAGGGTTGTATGGGATTAGGACATAATAAAGAATATCCGTAATACCCTTACGCATTCTGTTTTGGTTAGAGAATCAAAAGACCTCGTTCTTCCTACGTTACTACTAATTTTGCATCTCTCATATTTACAAACATTCGCGCCTTTTTTTTATTTAACCCTCAGGAGTAACACTTGCATCTATCGGTTTCTAAAGAAGTAGATGACTCATCCACCATGATGTACAATCCTCTGAAAGGGAGTCGCCTTCATGTTTCGTTGTCTTCCAACTAATTAATATAAAAAAAGTTATTTTCTGTGCAAATACGATGAAACTACAAGATGTCAACTTAATAAAAGAAAGTGATGTAGATGTAAAAAGAGTTGGAGATAGAATAATACTAATAAAAGTTGTATCAGGTGTAGAGATTAGTAATATTATTAGTGTTTACGCGCCACGAGTAGGCTTGTCCGAGAGTACTAAAAGGAAATTTTGGGATATCTTAGATGAATTGGTATAAGAAATACAATTAGAAGAGGAATTGTTTATAAGAGGGAATTTTAGTGGGCATGTTGGTAAGGATAATAATGGATATGAGAGGATTCATAGAAGTTTCGGGTATGGAGATAGGAACGATATGGGAGAATTGATTTTAGAGTTTGTAACATCATATGGTTTGCTAATGACAATTACACTTTTTAGAAAAAAAAGATGAACACTTAATCTAATATAATCTAATCTAATCTAATATCTATCTAATACTATTATAAAAGTGTATAGTTATGTTAAAACATTTCTTCCAAAATGCTCTTCAAAACACATACATGAACACATAATTACATATATGCATGCATATATAAACCATAACTCTTCAAATTCTTCTCATAACCCCCAATCCTATTAAGTGAACTTAATTATTTATTAATGGCGTATGACATTTAGTATATTAAGGTACATCTATTTTATAGTAAAAGTTAGATATTATTAAAAACTAATAAATAATTTAATGTTTCATTCTAAAATGTGTTGGATGTTAAATTATTTCTAACAAAAATGTCCTCCAGTTTGTTTGTACAATTGTCAAAACGTCTTTATGTTGCTATGGATATCCATGCAATTTTGTGTCATTCATGGTAAAACAAGTATGCACATGTACATATATACATACCCAAAATTAATTATTGAAGAAAAATATAAAGTAATATATAGTAGTAATCACTCATTCACTCATAATTAACCTCCTTACGTTCAAGCCTCTCTATTTATTTGTTACATAAATTCTTTGTTTAATTACCAATCCATAACCTCCCAATAAAGTACCTCTTAATTTTAGTCATTAAACTCCAACATCTTATCAATTTCCTCACTGCTCTCTGATAAATAGTTGTTGTCGTGACTTTGTGGTATAAGAGGGGCTGGAAGATGATGAGCCCATTTTAGCAACACAACTTGAGTCAAATGCCATGAAAGATTGAAAGATTTGCAGGAGTTTGGAGAGGAGGGATATTGAATGTGAGAAATGGGTAAGAAAGCTTTTGATTTAAAGGTTTGGCATTTTCTTCTTTTTATATAGTTTTTATAACACATCCAAGTTGTAATCCACGGAGGATTTAGATTCTTTTTTCACTATCAGTATTATATTAATCAAAGATCTTAACTATGGTTCAATGGATAAGAAAGCTTTTGATTTAGAGGTTTGTCATTCTCTTCTTTTTATATAATTTTTATAACAAATCCAAGTTGTAATATATGGTGGATTTAGATTCTTTCTCCATATTCGTTACTACACCTAATCAAAGATCTCAACTACAGTTCAAATAAGTATATTAAAGATGGAATCAATTAGTCACCAAATGTAACTTCCGTCGTCTGTTTAATCTTCTTTGAAAGCTAATTATTACTGAAGTACGGCAATCATCGTATTTTGCTAGTGAACTATAACTTCTGTATTTTGCTTGCAAGCGGGAGGAAATCATCACCGAGGACAAGGGTAACAAGAAGATACGATCATACATAGCATTTAGCAATATCTAGAGGTTGATAGGCGACATGGCCAAGAACTAGGTCTTTTTTATGAACAAGATCAATACACATCCAGCTCGATGAGTTTTTAGATTTATCTTTAATCTGTCCGTGTTTATGGTGTTAACATTCGTATATGTTAACGCGATTTCTGCCGTAGACATAAAATGTTTGATTATAAGATGTTTCAATGATGAATAGCCTCAGAGTGATGCTAACTTGTGGCTGTCAAGGTCACTACTGTTCCTAGAGACATGACCCGATTATCGTCCACTATATATCAAGAACAAGGAGAAGTTGTTTACCACTAAGGAGATCTCATGAATGATCTTGATTAAGAGGAGGAAATTTGATTAGTCCAATCTAATCTGCTAGGTTTATTTTCGATAAAATATTGATAACACATTATGCGAGTTTGCATTTCGAAATGATGTACTATTAGGCTATTATAATATTATGAGCTCTTTACCCGATTGTCGTCCACTATATATCAAGAACAAGGAGAAGTTGTTTACCACCAAGGAGATCTCATGAATGATCCTGATTAAGAGGAGGGAATTTGATTAGTTCAATCTAATCTGCTAGGTTTATTTTTGATAAAATATTGATAACACAATATTATGCGAGTTTACATTTCGAAATGATGCACTATTAGGCTGTTATATAATATTATGAGCTCTTTCTTATTAAGTCACTCTCTCTCTCTCCCCCAATTAACTATGACACCATCAATATATTTATATGTTTGGAAGCTTGCACAATGGTCAAATTTAGTTTTGTACAATGAAAACTAATTATTTCTGAAGTTCGGCAATCATCGTATTTTGCTAGGTGTGAACTATAACTTTTGCATTTCGCTAGCAAGCGGGAGGAAATCATCATCGAGGACAAGGGTAATAAGAAGATGCGATCATACATAGCATTTAGCAATACCTAGAGGTTGATTGGCGACATGGCCAAGGACTAGGTCTCTTTTATGAACAAGATCAATACACATCCGACTCGGTGAGTTTTTAGATTTATCTTTGATCTGTCTGTGTTCTTTGATTTCTATCGTAGATGTAAAATGTTTGATTATAAGACGTTTCAATGATGAATAGACTCAGAGTGATGCTAACTTGTGGCTGTCAAGGTCACTACTAACCCTAGAGACATGACCTGATTGTCGTCCACTATATATCAAGAATAAGGAGAAGTTGTTTACCACCAAGGAGATCTCATGAATGATCTTGATTAAGATGAGGGAATTTGATTAGTCCAATCTAATTTGCTAGGTTTATTTTTGATAAAATAGTAATAACACATTATGCGAGTTTGCATTCGAAATGATGTACTATTAGGCTGTTATAATATTATGAGCTCTTTCTTATTAAGTCTCTCTCTCTCTCTCTCTCATACTCTCTCTCTCTCTCTCTCTAAAACTAACTATGGCACCATCAATATATTTATATGTTTGGAAGCTTGCACAATGGTCAAAATTAGTTTTGTACAATGAAGGAGTTACATATGCCTACTTTTTTTAAAGTCTAATTTGTACATCAAAAGTTTCTTTCATTTTTAAACAATACGAGTCACAGCAAAATGTGGTAAATGTTTGGTTAAGGAGAATTAATATACGGTGCTTGATAGAAATGTGAAGCTCACTCCACATTCCTCGGACTGCCTTTGACCCAATACAAAAATTTCATCATACCTCTACATTTAAATGAAAATACAGACCAAAATTAGTAAGGGGAGCAACATAGCATTGCTATGACCAGCAGTAGATACCATGAATAAGGGTTAGTAAATCGAAGCAAATGACTAATGGATTACAAATTGAAGTATAAGAGTCATTGCAGAGAACAACAATTTGCAATGGACATGTTAAAGTGTAGGAGTCACTGTATGTTGAAGCAAAGCACAACAATTTGCAGTGGAGCCTGTCGGTCAAAAAGAACTTCAAATTTACTATACTATTTGTTGAGAAGATGGAGAATTTGAGTTTTATATATGCCAACCAAAAATGTCCTTAAAAGTTTTTTCTAATACTTTAAATCTATTTTTCTTTAAATTACTTACTCATTTTTCTATTTTAAAAATAAATTAATATATAATAAGTGTGTCTATGTGCAACGCATGTACACTATACTAGTAACCTTTAAAAGTAGATTTAATATTGTCAAATAGACTTTTTTCTTACTAAAAGGGCATATAGGTTAACATATAAAAATTATAAAATTAT